CCCTACTTCATTGTGCATTTCTTTTGTTGTAAATTTTCTCAAATCCTTTGTAGAAAGACAAGTTCTTTTTTTGTTTGTTTGTTTTAAGTTCTATTACCCCCTGGTGACATTGCCAGAGCTGAGTACAGAGTAGAACAGCTTCAGGCATCTACTGGATCAAAATAAAATCTGCTCATGGACTCAAAAACTACTATACTCTTTCTTCCCACTAAATAATGCTAGTTTCTATAACCTCATCTTGTATACTTTAATGAAGTTTCCTTTAATAAAGGCCTATATTTTTCACTTATAATTTTTATTTCTTTGTGTAGAGGCAATTTTTAAGAATCATCTTCTCTATTATATATATGCCTTTGTCTGCTTTCTTTTCATTTCTGAGATGGCACTTACTCACGGCTTTGTATTCCAAAACAGAAAGCTATTAATGACTTTGTCAGATAGAAACTGACAGAGCAGAAGCTTTTGTCTCTGGGTTCTTAAAAAAAAAAAAAATCCATGCATAATAACAAGGTCCCTCCCTAGATGTGATGATTTTCTGCTTTTAAGATTCTATGTTCTTACCGAAGATTTTGTTTTTGCTAATGTGCTATACTAGTATCTTAAAACATATTAAACACATAAGGCCTGTTCCAAGATTTAAAAAAACAACAACAAACTAAGAACATATCACTTAATTCAAAACATTTCAACAATTACGATGTTATTTAAGTTGGGAAGCAAAACAAGTAAACAAAGCAATTGTTGTATCCTCTACTACAAATAGAAAAAAAAAACAGCAGATGGCATTTTACTCCCTATAAAATGGGGCTCTTTGTACAGTGTGTTTAGATTGTTTTCAAGGGCTCACTCGTCAGACCCACTTTTTCAAGGGTCAATTAAAAGCTGTGCTTAACATAGCCCATAACTGGGGCCCCGTGGTTACAGCCAATAATTGGAAAATTATAGCGTTATTCAAACCATTGCTGATATTCCTGTGGTCCTCTTATCCGTTCATATTGCCTGTTGCCAAAGGTAAGAGAAGATAAAAGACACTTCAGTTACTTCCTGGGATGGAGAAAAGGCTGGGAGCAATTTACTGATGCCCCGACTTCCCCTTCACACAGAGAGTTGGCAGGGCCGCCCCTCCTGTTTGCAGAGAAGAAAGAGAAGAGGTCTTCTGTCCGATGAGACTTGCCTTAGAGATTAGGAAGAATGACGGGCTTGTAAAACATTGGAAGAGAGTGGCCTTTTATCCAGGGCTATTTAAAACCAGGAAAGATCTTCATCTATCTCCCACGGTTCAGCTGTGAAGAGAGAATGATTAAATTGCTTCTTCCAGCCCGATGAGTCTATAGTGTGTGTCGGGAACACTTGCGAATGGCCGGGAAAAACGTGGCCACGAAGAAACTGCCTGCAGGGCAAGGGACCCTGTCCACCCGCTGCTGTCGAGAAGCAACTGTTGAGATGTGCCTGAACGTTCTCACCACAAAACAAAACAAAACGAAATTTAGAAACGGGGTAACTAGGTGAGGTGATAGAGGTGTCAACTAACCTGATTGTGGTAATCATTTCATGAAATATGTGTATATCAATCATCACATTGTACACCTTAAAGATCATTCAATTTCTATTTGTCAGTTATACCTCAATAAAGCTGGGAAATTAAAAATAAAATGAAGCAACTGTTGTATGCCTTTAACAAAAACACCTGTTGAGGACATGACAGAATAGAGTTTCATTACATAACTTCTTGTTCCTATCTTTATCTTCTCTCTGTGTTCCATCTACTACAAAATTACCATGTTTCGGTATTTTTTTTTTACCTGTTTTTATACGCCATCTTAAGCCCTTTCTGGAAGAAGAAGGGATATCATTGCATAAAATAAATTCCATGCATTAAAGTTTCAAGGGCCTTTTCATGCCAGGAAATCTGCCAGACACAGGGGATAGAAAGAGGAGGAAACCTCACAGCCTGGGAGTGAACGTGGGCAGGTCAACTAGCGATAATGCCAGGGGCATGGGATTCCTGTGGCTCACGGGGCAGAAAGTCCCACTGTCTTGGGCACGGGAAGGCTGCGAGGAGAGGTTTCCGCAGAGCTGGTGTTGGAGCAGAATTCTGAAGCTTAAGTACCGGTCCTGCCCGCTCGTATGAATGAGGAGAACGTGTGGGAAGGCAGGGTGGGTGGGCGAGTGTGGTCGTCAAGGCACCGCTTTGAGGCTGGCCTGCTTATCCCAAGCAAATGTCATCGTTCCAATCTTGCAATTGCTGACAAATGTCCTCTTTGACTCATGTTTCCTTCTATACCTCTGTTGTCACCATGTGGACAGTGATCACTGGTGTAATTAACAGGTTCAGGAAAGTTGCCTGGTTTCCAGGGAATTTTGGTAAAAATACAACAGCAGAATTGTTGTATTTTTCAACAAACAAGAAACACTCTATAATCTTTTTGGAGCCCCGGTCAAAACCACATGGATAAATAATCTTTCTCTCAGGCTCCTCAACATTAATGCAGAAATATCCTGCTCAATCACAAACCTTACGATATTATAAGGAGCGCCTCCACCAGAAGTTGGAATTTGAAGCACCTTTACAAATACACTAGACTGTTTAACACTTGCAATTTAGATTCTGTAAGAAAGCCTGGAGGGTTTCTTGAATTTAATGTATGAATTTCAGCGTGAGGACTCTGGGGTGACAAGAAGATATCTGGTCAGTGACTGAGCCTGGCTGACTGCCCAGGCCCTAGGTTTCAATAAGGCTTCCCATCCTAAAGCAATGCCGGTAGTATTTTAGTAGTATATGTTTATTTATTGAGCATTTACCATATCAAGAACTTGATATCCACTGTCTTCTTAAATCCTGATGACAACCTATTTACAAATGGGGAAACTGAGGTCCAGAAAGATTAAGTTATCCAGGAACAAGTGCATGGCTGGGAAGCTAGTAGGTGCTGCACCTGCTTTAATCATGGTTTGATCTAACTCATAATTATATATTGACTATTTCATTTAATTCCAAGTAGGTTTTAATCTCTATAATACTATAAAATGTTATTAGTCCATGTGTGAACTGAAGAAACTTTATGCTCTGGTAGCAGCCTTTCTGTTTGAGACATTTTACAAAGGTCTCTGGACAGAGCCACCCAGAGGATCGTCAGTTTACTGAGATCCTCCCTGAACCGCCCAGAATAGCTGCGGGGACTTGAGGTGGGTGGGTGGCTCCTGCCTCCCTGGGCTTCAGTGCTTTGCCTGTCTTCCCGGGAGGAGGGCTGGTTTCCAGGCAACACCATGGTCTGTCTATTTTCATACTGTTGTAGTGATGAGTATTTTTGAAAAAATGGGAAATATAGCCCCAATAGTGTGATGAGATGCTTTTTGGAGTCTGGCTTTTCTGCCTATAGTAGTTTTGCAGCTACCTCCAGTAGGGCCAGAGGAATTCCTAACAAGAGACACAAATAATGAATGAAAAGGCCTGACCCATGACCTTAAGGACTGAGACTCAGAATGCCAACACTATGTGCTTAGTCAGGTTAATGATAGACGTTTTACGATGCCCTGGTCTTGGAGGATAGAAAAAGTGCAGGCCTAAATCACTGCTAAATAGATAATATAATTTAAGGAGTAGACTGTTGCTGGGGTCTGGTCCTCATGGCTGGTAAACAAAAAGTCAATTACTTGCATTTGATTGATTTGCATAAGTTACAGTCCCTGGGATCTAAACTGCATGATTCAATGCATTTTTAGGTCTTAATTTTCTCTTCTTGGAATCTAGTTGTAGAATAGCATGTACTTTAATAGCCAGGAACTCCAAAAATGTCCATTTAAATCCCAGTTGTTGGCCAGGCACAGTGTTTCGTGCCTGTAATCCCAACTACTCTGGAGGTCAAGGCAGGAGGATCACTTGAGGCCAAGAGTTTGAGACCCTCCTGGGCAACATAGCAAGAGCCCATCTCTACAAAAAGTTTTTTTTTTTAATTAGCCAGAAGTGGTGGCTTATGCCTGTAGTCCCAGCTACTCAGAAGACTGAGGCAGGAGGATCACTTGAGCCCAGGAGTTCAAGCCTGCGGTGAGCTATGATCATGTCACTGCACTCCAGCCTGGGCAACACAGCAGGACCCTGTCTCTAAAAAATAAATAAATAAATCTATCTCAATTTTAGTGATGAAGCCAGAATCACTCTTGCTTATTTCCGAAATGAATCCCTTGCATGAGTTCTATGTGATGCCTTCCCTTCCATGTTTTCAAAGTTACCTGTGCCCAAAACAAGTTATTGCTAAGCATTCTCCCAGCTCATTTTAAGTACTCAAGGTTGTAAACAATAAAAAAAAAAAAAAACTCATTTTTTTTCCTGATCAGATGCAATGTTTTCTACAATAACATTGGCTTCAAGGGAGACACAGTCCTCTGAGATTGGATTTTATTGAAAATTGCACTGTTAGATAACTAGGATGTCTGAAATCCTTAATAGAAATTCCAGACGGTCTGGAGTCATTCAGCGCAGAGCAAGGGCTGTACATGGAGGAGGGGTGCCCACTCCCCCAGCAGGAGCTGCCTCTAATCCTGGGGCGTGTAGGGACCTGAATGATGCATGGGTCACTACAACATGTAGTGATGGTCATTTGCCCTAAAGACGGATAGAATCAGACCCAACGTAATTGATGTTGGAGCCCTCGAGCGATGGCACTTTGTTTGGGGGCAGTCACATCGTTGGGGCCATTCTACACCTGCCAGTCTTTCTGGTACCCAGTAGGTTAGAGGCAGCTGAGAGAGACAGAGACCCCAGCAGAGCGTGGAGACACAGGGCACCTTGGTGGGCCCGTATTTTTGTTCCTGCTGTCCCTGTGAGAGCCCAGAGCTGCAGCCTTGGGCACAAGGAAGATGCTCTATGTTGTGCTTCAAATCTGCCCAGCAGGGCAGCTCGCTCACAGCTCGTTTCCCAGCACATCTTTTGTTCCATGTGAAGACGGTGGCTGAGCTGCCGCCGCATGTCCTGACCCCGCTCACTCTCTTTGATCCCACAGAATCTGTACCAGAACAGGTTCCTAGGCCTGGCCGCCATGGCGTCTCCATCTAGAAACTCCCAGAGCCGACGCCGGTGCAAGGAGCCGCTCCGCTACAGCTACAACCCTGACCAGTTCCACAACATGGACATCAGGGGTGGCCCCCATGACGGCGTCACCATTCCCCGCTCCACCAGCGACACTGACCTGGTCACCTCGGACAGCCGCTCCACGCTCATGGTCAGCAGCTCCTACTACTCCATAGGGCACTCGCAGGACCTGGTGATCCACTGGGACATAAAGGAGGAGGTGGACGCTGGAGACTGGATTGGCATGTACCTCATTGGTGAGTAGAATGTCACCTTCAGCCCTGCCTGGTTGGGCCAGTGACGTAACCAGACCCATTGACAGTTTGCTGCAAAAATAACGATCTTATAAATGTGCTTCAGGCATTCCGTGAGTCTATTATTCATAATTCACAATTATATGTGCCTTACTATTTTCATAAACTCTATAATATAATTAAAATGCACAATGAACTGTGTTGTACGCCAGATTCTAACACACTGAAAACCACCATGCATGACCTTGTTTTTCTGCAGAACAGACAATAAGGCCTCTCTTGCTAGCTCTGTCCAATGGAAGAAACTCATGAGATAGCAGGGTTAGGTGTGGCTAAACAGATGCTTGCAACTACAGAAGCTCTTCCAATATATTGTGAAAGTTAATAGCAAACACCTGTTTTTAAAGCCAGGTATTTAGAAGGCCAAAGTAACACTATATAGTCAACCAGTGTACATAAATCTCTATGGAGGTAAGTTTGCTTTTGTTTCCAACACAATCTTCACCAGTTTTTTCAACATTCTTACTGCACTGTATTCAAAACACAAACTGGGATTACACATATAGTCATGGTGCTGGAGAAAGTTGACTTGCTTTGTTTAGGTAGAGCTTTGTTACAAATTTTGAAAGTTCAAACGTTGACAGCTTCTTAGAATTTCTCGGTGCAAACAAACAAAATTATGAGAATAAATTGGATGCCAAGGCAACTATTTTTATAAAGGTTTTACTATTCTCATAAATTGGTTTTGAAAATAAATCTTACAAATTTGAAATTGTGAAAATAAATTTACATAAAAAATATATTTCATCTATTTTATGCGATAGAATCAGGTGTGGTTGAAATTGACCTGAAAGCCAGGGTGTAATTGCTGGGGAACCACAGAAGTCAACAGACTCAACAGCAGGTACAACTGAGGCAAGGCCTTCTGCCTTCAGTCCATGCAGGACAGTTTCATGTTCATTTGGACACAGAACACTAGATTTAATACCCTCAATATCACAGGAAGTAATGGATAGTCATGAGTAGTTTACAGCCTGTAGTACCATTTGCATTCAGAGAAACACTTTGGGTCTCTTAAAGGTTTTGCCATCAGCTTGGTTAGTGTATTTATAATGCACACATTATTGTAGACATGAAGAAATGTAATTTTTGAAATTTTTACATGAATAGTCATGACTAGCTGAATTGGATTTCCAAACAGTTAAAAATTTCATTTGTTTTTAAAAAATAGTTGTTGAATAAAAGTAGATACCACTGATCTAGAACAGAGATTGCAAAATAACAGCCCACTGTGCTTATTTTGTTTAGTCCACATTGTTTTGTTTTAAATCTGATTAATTATCAACATTTGAAAATGTAGAAATTTCATGTTGAAGTCCAAGTCTTGGGGCAGGTGTAAGTGGGCAGCATTAACTGCAGGAAAAGAGGAGGGGGGCAAAAATGAGGAGGTCAATGAGCATTTAGAACCTAACCACAGCAGCAAGAGCTCGCAGTTAGGGACGTTTCCTGGCCAGAAGCATACACAGAAGCTAGGAGCTCATGTCCAAAGATGACCTTTTCCTCATTAACATACATTAGCCTAGTAAACCCTGCACTGACTAGCGCCATGACAGTTTACAAATGCCATGGCAACCCTTGGAAGTTACCCTATAAGGACAAAATTGAGGAGGGCCCCTAGCTCTAAGAACTCTCCACCCTTTTCCCCCGGACAGTAATGAATATTCCACCTACTATTTAGCATATCATAAGGCATAGACATAAAAGTAGAAATGTGGTAAGACCCAGCGTCTCCTCCACTTGCAGAGTCTGACCCGTTTCCCCTGGGAAATGTACTTCCGCTTTCTGTTCTATGCTGACAAGCTGCGATAAAAGCTGCTTGTGTGGAAATGCTGTGTCTGTCATCTCTCCGTCACACTGGCCCAGCTTGTGATTCTTCCCAGACAGGAGCCAAAGAACTGGGACAACACCTTCTAAGAATCAACCCTGACACAACTTTCTAGCTTCTTTCACAAAAGCCCCCACTTTGACGGCCAGGGTCCAGACACCGCGAGGCTGTCATCAGCTGGGCTGAGGCATCTGCTGCCCCTGCACACTGGCCTGCGACCTCCAGGGTGGCCACAGCCGCCTCCCACACACCTGACCATACTTAGGAATGTGTCTTGTTCAGCACCTGAGGCAAGTAGGCTTTTGGCTCCAGATCTAGTTTTTAATCTACTCTTCGAGGGGGCGCTTTCCTGCAGCTGGTGAGTGTTGATGTCATCCCTTGAGTTAGGGGCCAACTGGAAGAGAAGCATGTTCGGGGAAAAGATCATGAGCTCAGTGTGGAACCCACTAAGTGTGGGATACCCGAGGACCCGGATGCACAGTGAACGAATGGCTGGGTCTGAAGCTCTGCCAGAGACCCGGGCTAGGGTCGTAGATCCCAGGTGCTTGGCCCCTGGGAGTGCAGAAGGTCACCCATGTACTGTGTCTAGAGAGGGCGCACCAGGCAGTCGCTGTCAGAGAGAGGAGCAGAGGAGGAGTTCGCACTCAAGGTGGAGGAGGTGGTGAAGAGGCAGGACAACTAGGAGACCACACTGGAGAGGGAAGAGAACACGGGGGTAGGAGAAGGAAGGGGCGGTCAGCCGTATCGAGTATCACGAAACTCTGTGAATGAATAAGATCTGAATGTTAACATGACATTTCGACTGAGACAAAAGTAACCACAACTCCTTGTCTTAGAATCTTAATTTGACAGTTTGCTATTCCCATTGTAGCTACACATATATAACTGTGAAGTTATTTAATGCAAAATGCCAACACTTGCAACAGTATAGCATTTCAAAAATAATTTCCAGATCCAAAATTATCGTGAATCTTAAAAGTTCATAATTTGTAAATCCTTAGTAACTGATCTCTCAGATTTGCAGTGCCTTGCCAAAGATCAAACCAGAGAGCTAGGCCTAGAAATTTAGAAGTGGTGATTTCATCTAACCTGTCATTTCACAAACGGGGAGATGCCAATTCAATGGCTCCCACAGCCACACAGCTGCCTCCCCTGGCGCAGAACTCCTGGGGTGCTGACCACAAGAACATCTCAGCACCCGGGTGCGACGTCAGGTGTGGGCCCCTCCACACCAGTGGGCCATCGTGATGGCCAGTGGAGGCCAGGTGTGTGACGCTTGCAGCAGAGTGTGACCTCTGGGATTCTCTAGGCAAACATGACTGTTTCTGCCTTAAGAGGGTGAAGACATCTGGATGTGGAGGGTGATGTGTGGCCCTGCTCAGTGACACTGTCACCAAGCCAACAATGGTGTCCTTACCCAGGACCACAGGGACCCAATAGTGGGACAATGACATTAGCATTACCATTATTGTAAAGTGAAGTCACAAGTGGTTGCTCTTGGGTACAGAGTGGTTCATGATGCGCTGGATGAAAGTGATCAATGTTTCCCTCTCCTAGTGGCACAGAATGGGGAAAGGCCATGTGGTTTCGGTGACAAGTAGACCTGGTTTAGAATCGTACTCGGCCACTAGCAAGATGTGTGGCCTCAGCCAGGTACTGTCATCTGAGCTTCATATTCTTTATCTCCAAAATGGAGACAAAAATGTTGACTTCCTTCTCAGGGTCAGTGAGAGGAATTGATGAGGTACGTGCGTTTACTGCCTGGTGATCAGTGAGTCACTTCTTGATTTACCTTGTCAAATAGCTTTAGTCTCTGGATGCAGCATAACAAGTAACCTGCTTCCCAAGCTTAATCCAGCCTAGCCTGGGCCCGTAGACCTGTACTCGATTGTTTTAGTTGCACATTATAGACAAAAGCTTCTGCCCAAACCAGCAGGGACCTGGAGAGTTATTTTTAAACATGAGTAAATGGGCAGAGGCTTATTATTGTGTCAAAAACCAGCGTTTAGAGATGGATTTGTTAGAAATCAGCATTTCCAGTAAATAGTTTTGCAATTATTGATTCAGTAACACCTGCTCAACTTTGCCAAATAAAATCTAATTGTTTATTAGTCCTATCCGTAGATTAAAATTCAGCAATGCCCTTGGCTTCCTCAAGCTAAGGAAACGACATTGTATAATTGGGTTAAGATACATAATTTGAGGAATACTATAGATACTCCTAATCATGAAATTGCTAAATTAATGAGAATGTGTGTGTGTATACATGTATGTGTGTGTGTGTGTGTGTGTGCGTGTTTCACCTCTTCATTCCCCATTCCATTATTTTAAAAATATATCTAATATTATTCAATCTTTTTGTGGGTTATCAATTTTTTTAAATAGCCATTCCTTTGACTCTTTTGAAAGTAGCCACTATTAAAACTGCTTAAATAGGCCAGGCGTGGTGGCTCACACCTGTAATCCTAGCACTCTGGGAGGCCAAGACAGGAGGACCACACAAGGTCAGGAGTTCGAAACCAGCCTGAGCAAGAGCAAGACCCTGTCTCTACTAAAAATAGAAAAAAAATTAGCTAGGCAACTAAAAACAGAAAAAAAACAAAATTAGCTGGGCATGGTGGTGGACACCTATAGTCCCAGCTACTCAGGAGGCTGAGGCAGGAAGATCGCTTGAGCCTAGGAATTTGAGGTTGCTGTGAGCTAGGCTGATGCCACAGCACTCTAGCCTGGGCAACAGAGTGAGACTCTGCCTCAAAAAAATAAAAAAATAAAACTGCTTAAATATAAAATAAATATGCAAATAAAATCATGAAAATATAATTGAATAGGTAAAGTAGGCATAATATGCTCATAAGTTACAAAACTAACCTTCTTATTAATTTATCATTTTAAGAAATCCTATTCATTATTATTCTATGCTATACCATGTTACCCCAATACTATGCCAGAATTTTCCCAGGAATTTAAAACATAATGAAAGTAGAGTACATTCATGCATTTGAAATTCAATATATCAAGAGATGATAACTCAGAGCAAAATTAGAATTAAAAATTCTCTGAAATTACATCTTTGAAGTGTTCTCATAGACTGGTGCCTGGGGATGTATATTCTCTTCCA